CACCCAATTACATTCTACCAACAGCACCAGGACAATTAGTCCAGCCATCACACCAGTCACATACTGAGCCTGACTCTAGTCCCACTGTAATACAACTCAGTTCAAAGGAAGTAGTTGCTCGCAATATTGAATTACTACATCAGCAGTTTATTCGTCTTGTAACTGAAATAAGAAAACATTTTAATAAACTTGTGTCCAACAAGAAATTAGAAGCAGACGAGGTTGCATTTCATGCAGAAACATATTTGGAGCAAGATTTAAAGTTATCAGAAATCAACATGCAATCTATATTTACTGCCATTAGACCTCATTATGACTTTTTAAATTTTGGATTGCTCAAAAGTTTAGTACGTCATTTTATCACCTTATCAGATGATATTCATACCAAACTAATTCAATACATTGATAGTGTTGATAAATTCTCAGAATTATCACAGTTGAAGCACATACGATCAACAATCAAAGAGAAATTGTCATCATCACCAGCAGTAGCCTCGCCAACCATTAGCAATCAAACAAAACCAGTCGTTATTAAACTCAATGGCATATGGGATGAAATGACTCTAACTAAATTTAAAAGAGTACTTGAATATTACTTTGGGCATAAAGTAGCAGATATTTCTACTATAGTGGACATTCATATTGGTTCAGTTGTTATTACACTGTTAATACCAACCTCACTATCACAGTCTCTTATTGATGCTATCAATAACAAAACAAACTCAATGAGTAGATTAGGAATATTGGAAGTTTCTGTTGACAATAAAGTGATTCCTATCAAAAGAAATGACGATAACAATTTTGACATTTCACTCCATGAATCAGTTAAAGCTGGTGATAGTTTTGAAGTATCAATGCTACTGCAGTTAGGAGCTGATCCTAACAGTAAAGATGAGAGAGGAAAGAGTGCAGTAGAGATAGCTAATGAAGGAGGACACACTCAAATAAAAGAAATACTATTAACTGGTGGAGGTGAGTTATTTGATACTAATATTATTACACACACATAATATACCATTAATACAGTAAACCCTCTATTAACAAACACTCTCTATAGTGCACACCTCCTCATGGACAGCACCTAGTGTACCAATTGCATTCCTTACTGTATAAAATAACCTTCACATGAAGGACACCTCTGTATAACAGAGACACTTTCACATCCCATTGTAGAAGTACCAGTGATTGAGTTTGACAATAAAACTTTATAAAAAAGAGTCACAAAACGTAATAAAAACTACCAAAAATCAATTCATTGTCAGTATGATTGTAAGTTATTATATAGAATCTTCTACTCTAAAAAAGAGAAAGAGTGGAAAGAGAGAAATACGATTTAAATGCAAAAATTCAAAACAGATATTTACCAGATACATGTATATGGTATATGCTTACATTAGCTTGTGCTTTGAAGTTGACTAGCTGGCATAATGGACCAAGGACTATAAAGAGAGAGAGAAAGAGAGAGAGAGAGAGATGGAGGGACAATAATTATTGATTTCAACATATTAATAAAACGTATAATTGATTTTTGTTTACTGTCACGTACATGCATGATAAAAGATAGACTACACCCATTCCATCCTAGCAGCTGTAATGACTTACTGGTACAAAAACCAGCATCACCTGGAACAATTAACACACAAACAAGCATCATCAATAAAATAATATAATATAATTATTATTATTTATATTATATGCCTATTATACTGTATTAAAATAATAATATACACACATTAACAGACTGACTGTGTTTATTAATAGGAGAAGAGACTAGAGAGGTGAAGTGGACCAGTTTTGACGTATCCCTCACTAAACCATCAGCAAGTCAATGTCAGGAAGTGATCAGTCAATTAACAGACAGTCATCCGTACATTCACCTCTATCACTCATTGTGATAATATGATTGGTATTATTCTTATTCTCTGTACGATTATTATTATTATTATTATTATTATTATTATTATTCTTATTCTCTGTACGATTATTATTATTATTATTATTATTATTATTATTATTATTATCATCATTATTCTATTATTCTTAGCATTTATTATTATTGTTATTGTTATTATTATTATTAATTTATTATTATCACTATTATTATTGCTCTTATCATTATTATTGTGTTATTATTACAATCTAGCTTGTTATGATAATTAGTAGTTATTATCAGTTAATATTGTGGGTATGAAAAATGTATTTAAGGTTTTGTTAATGATATTTTTGAGCAGTCTTTCGACTGTGAGTGAATCATAATAATAGCCAAGTCCACGGAGCTTCAAATCCTTTACTACATATTTGGCGACGAGGGCCTGTTTCGAACTACACGCGGCAGGACATTACGGATAGTCTTGGCACAGGATGGCAGTGGCATCGAGCGCTCTGGAGCCTTTTGATGCAAAGCGACACAGTTTTCCTAAATATGTTCAACGGATTAAGCTGTATTTTGAGGCAAACAGTATACCTGCTGGGAAACAGAAATCCGTTTTCTTGTCCGCCCTGGGCTATGATACATTTGAAGTATTATCTAACATGGTGTCGGCGGAGGAGCTTAATAGCAAGTCATTGGACGACTTGGTTACACTTCTCACAAACCATTTCCACCCCAAGGCATCACTAGTAGCTGAACGATACAAGTTCGGGTGCCGTCGGCAAGGAGATAGCGAAACCATTACAGATTATGTGGCAGATTTGAGGAGACTTGCCCAGAGGTGCAACTTTAAGGAGGCTACTTTAGATGAGACGTTGAGAGATAGATTTATATGTGGCCTTGCTCAAGAATACATCCGCAGTAGACTCCTGACTGAGCCAGATGATCTCAAGTTCAACAAAGCAGTGGACTTAGCCACTATGATGGAAGAGGCTAGAAGGAGTGCTCAACTCATGCAGGAGCGCAGCTCAACTAAAGCTGCCGAATCACATGATGTCCACCAGACCAACATGAGGGACACACGTAAGTCAATCACACAGACACAGGAGCATGTAATATGTTACAGGTGTGGGGGTGCTCATTTTGCACATAAATGTCGTTTCATTAAAGAAAAGTGCCGGGCATGTGGTAAAATTGGCCACATTGCTCGTGTGTGTAGATCTAAAACAGCTGGTAAAGGACCTGCGAGAGAACCTTTCAAAAGAGATGTACGCACTAATGCCATTGATGACAATGCCACAGATGAGGAATCAGAAGAGGAGTCGTACCCTGTGTATACACTGCCATCTTCAAAAGTAGCTCCTATAAAAGTGCAAATTGTGGCAAATGGTCATAACATGGAAATGGAGTTGGATACAGGTGCTGCTGTGTCTCTCATTAGTGAGTCCACCTTCAATAGAATTTTTAAAGGGGAAGTTGAATTGAAGCCATCCAGTGTGGTTTTGAGGTCATATTCTGGCCACAAGTTAGATGTGCTAGGTGTGATAGACCTTGTAATAACCCACAACACACAAACAGCCAGCCTCCCTTTAGTAGTGGTTGCAGGGGATGGTCCTAGTTTGCTGGGCAGAAATTGGTTGCACCTACTTAAGTTGGATTGGGGAGCTATAAAGAACATACAAAGCAAATCAGCCTTAGCAGAACTCATCAAGAAGCATACCCCTTTATTCCGATCTCAACTAGGCAAACTCAAAGGGGCTACAGCTAAGATATATGTTCCGTCTGATGCAAAGCCTCGGTTCTTCAAACCTAGACCAATCTCATACGCATTAAAGGAAAAGGTTGAAAAAGAGTTAGAAAGGCTGCAACAAGAAGGTGTTATTATTCCAGTTACTTTCTCAGATTGGGCTACACCCATAGTACCCATAGTGAAGCCGGATGGGAGTGTTCGCCTGTGTGGCGATTACAAGGTCACGGTGAATGCTGTTGCCAAGCTAGAGACTTACCCTCTTCCAAAAATAGAAGAGTTGTTCACGGCACTTTCAGGGGGTACCATATTTTCCAAGTTAGATCTCTCTCATGCTTATCAGCAGATCATGGTACATGAAGATTCCTGCAAGTACACGACCATCAACACGAGTAAGGGTCTCTTCCAGTACCAGCGACTCCCCTTTGGCATTGCATCGGCTCCGGCCATATTTCAACGTACCATGGAGACACTGTTACATGATATATCGGGAGTAGTGGTGTACATTGATGATATTTTGGTGTCAGGAAAGGATGAAACAAGCCACCTCCAGAATCTAGATTTGGTCATGGAGCGACTAGAACAAGCAGGTCTTACCTTGAAGCAATCAAAGTGTACATATGCAGTATCATCAGTGGAATACCTTGGTCATATCATTGACAAGGATGGTCTCCATCCATCACCTTCTAAAGTAGAAGCCATTCGATCAGCCCCAGAACCAAGGAATACTACAGAGTTGAAGTCCTTTCTTGGGTTGTTGAATTATTATTCTAGATTTCTCCCTAATTTAGCTATTGTTCTTTCTCCTCTCTACAGGTTGTTACAAAAGAAAACAAAGTGGTCGTGGTTAGACATAGAAAAAAAAGCATTTCAGAAAGCAAAATCTCTGCTTCAGTCCTCGAATCTGTTAGTTCATTATGATGGTCGAAAGGAACTGGTAGTCTCATGCGATGCATCCCCATATGGACTGGGGGCAGTTCTGGCTCATAAAATGCAAGATGATTTGGAGAGACCTATTGCTTTCACCTCAAGGACTCTTTCCCCTCCAGAGAGAAACTACTCGCAATTAGAAAAAGAAGGACTTGCAGTAATATATGCAGTCAAGAAATTCCACCATTATCTTTCAGGACGCAAGTTCACTATCTATTCAGACCACAAACCTCTAAAGTACCTGTTCAGTGAAACACAGCAAACTCCTCGAATGGCAGCAGCAAGGATTCAACGATGGGCTTTGATACTGGGATCATATCAGTACACTATACAGTACAGACAAGGTAATAAAATGTCAAATGCCGATGCTTTGAGTAGATTACCATTACCTTGTCTAGATAAAGATAAAAGCACAGAAAAGGATGGTAGTGTATTATTGCTGCTTAACCACTTATCCGAAGCTATTGTGACGTCATCACAAATTCGTTCATGGACAGAGAAAGACCCAGTATTATCACAAGTCCTACACTCAATTCGTCATGGTTGGAGATTGAATGATTCAAATAGCAACAGTCTCAAGCCTTATATTGATCGCCAGAACGAACTGAGCTCTGTGGATGGGTGTGTGTTGTGGGGTTCTCGTGTGGTAATTCCACCACAAGGACGCTCTATAGTTCTAAAGCAATTGCATAACACTCATCCTGGGACCAATCGTATGAAGGGATTAGCTCGTTCGTATGTGTGGTGGCCAGGACTAGACAGAGACATCACAGAGTTGGTGAAACATTGCAGCATATGTCAAGCTCATCGTTCAAGCCCGCCTAGAGCTGTTTTACACCCCTGGGAATGGCCCAATCGTCCATGGGCTCGCGTACATATTGACCACGCTGGGCCATTTCATGGCAAGCAGTTCTTAATAGTTGTTGATGCTCATTCCAAGTGGATTGATGTTCAACAAGTATCATCAACATCAGCAGAAGCAACCATAGAAGCCCTACGATTTTTATTTGCTACACATGGGGTCCCCGAACAGCTGGTTTCAGATAATGGCAGTGGTTTCAGGAGCTCTGAATTTCAAATGTTCACATCTCAGAATGGGATTAAACACATTTTCACATCACCGTACCACCCAGCTTCAAACGGTCTGGCAGAAAGGGCAGTGCAGACCTTTAAATCAACAGTTACTAAAATGGAAGGCCCAATGGATCAAAGGATTGCACGATTTTTACTACAGTATCGAATCACACCCCAAACCACTACAGGATTGTCGCCTTCTCAATTGTTAATGGGACGTCAGCTGCGTACTGTCCTCGACTTACTATATCCAGATACAGAACAAACAGTACGAAGTAAGCAGGAGAAGGCCGTGGGAGGTAGAGTCCATACAAGGCGGTTTAAAATTGGAGATTTAGCTTACACTAAAACACCCCAAGAGAAAGTATGGCTGCCTGTGAAAATAACTAAAGTTACAGGACCCTTATCTTATCAAGTGATAACAGAAGGAGGGGTGGTAATGAGACGTCATATAGACCATCTGCGTTCTCGATTCGAGGAGCAAACATCTCATCATTCTGATGTTACTGACTGGTCTTTCATGGGATCATCTCAAGAGGTGGAGCAAGAGGAGCAGAGACCTTCAGTACCACCTAGGTCTGGTCCCTTGCGTCGTTCTACTAGGGTTCCACGTCCAGTGGACACATATGCTCCGTTAGTTAACACTTAATGGTGGGGGGATGTGATAATATGATTGGCATTATTCTTATTCTCTGTACGATTATTATTATTATTATTATTATTATTATTATTATTATTATTATTATTATTATTATTATTATTATTATTATTATCATTATTATCATCATTATTCTATTATTCTTAGCATTTATTATTATTGTTATTGTTATTATTATTATTAATTTATTATTATCACTATTATTATTGCTCTTATCATTATTATTGTGTTATTATTACAATCTAGCTTGTTATGATAATTAGTAGTTATTATCAGTTAATATTCTGGGTATGAAAAATGTATTTAAGGGTTTGTTAATGATATTTTTGAGCAGTCTTTCGACTGTGAGTGAATCATAATAATAGCCAAGTCCACGGAGCTTCAAATCCTTTACTACACTCATCACCTGATATTGTATACCTATTGATGTCACTAGCACTAGAGATAAGAACAATAAAGTGTATTGGTATACATAACACTAAAATAACAAAAGATGTCATCCTCTTACTGTCACACAAAATAACGAACAATACTTCATTAGGGATACTATCGATCAGTAATGATTCCATCAATGATGATGGAGTCATTACACTAACACAATCATTAATTAATAATAAAACAATTGCTGGCTTATTTCTTAGTTACAATCCTCGCATCACTTCAACCAGTGCTCAGTCACTAGCTAAACTTTTACTCCACAACCACACACTATCTGCCCTTCATCTTAACGGTACTAACATTGATACTGATGGAGTACTGGTACTGATGGAATCTCTTAGGACTAATAATACACTAAGGATACTATGTCTAGACAATAAACATAAACAAACTTGTTATTCTTTACCTTATTATAAAACTATTAAAAACAGATTATTATAAAACTTTGTGCAATTATTTCATATACATAATTAGTTTATTAAAGGGTAACTGCACCCCAAAATTTTTTTGCCTGGAATAAGTTGGTAATGAAGAGAGAATAATAGGAAAAATAGCTAAAATTATTAAAAAGTACTGTTTCTGTA